TAACCTCCCAGGGTAAAATGATCTTAATCAGTAGAGTATAGATACCAAAAACTCTACTGTCAGCGAATCAATTCCACAGCAGGAAAGTACACGAAGAAATATATGTTTTTTAAGAAGAAGGAAGATCAAAAAATTCGTTAGGAAATATTCTGAATATTGAATGGTATTTATAGGCAAGAATAATATATTCTGAAAGGTTGCTACCCTTTCAGAATTGACACGACCATTAATGAAAGGTTGCAAACTTTCAAATGGTATTGACTGTTCCTGAAAGTTGCAACCTTTCAGAACAGTCATGGCGGGAAATTTTGAATATAACGGAATTTAAAACGGGTCACTCGCACCGTCATCGTCGTCGCTCGCTCGCTTCGCTTCGGCTTCGGCTTCGGCTTTGGCTTCGGCTTTGGCAAATGATCGAGAGATAATTTTTTGGACAAAATTTATTTTTAATTATTTATTAATTTTCAATAAATCAGTTGATAAAATGAAAATGAGATTATTTGTGAAATTGAAGAAATAGAGCATAAATTTTGATTTTTATCCATTATGTACAATAATAACATAAAGTTGAGATAGTAATAATAATTAAAAAAATATTATCAAAATGACGCTTATTCCCAACATAACTTATTCGAGCATAACTTGTATTCAAACTAAACGATCCCTTAGGGTTTGTTTACACTTTAGTATCCAAGACTCTTTATAGTTACTTTATAATTGACATTCAAATTTCACAATAATATTTCAAAGTTGCGATATTACTCATTGATTCATTGTCATTGCTCCCCCACCGACAAGTTATATTGAATATCATTCTCTAAGTGTCTAAATTGAAGTTTAAATGGTTGGTTTACTTACTTTTGAGTCTTTGTTTTATCTTCTTATTAGAGTGAGGTGAGTTAGTGAGATATGCTTGCAATACTACAATCTCCAATGATTTTTTTTTAATTAGTAATGATCTCATGATCATTAATGATTTTTGTTAGTAATGTTGTAATGGTCTCTCTTTATAGTTTATATCGAAATTGACTTGGTTGTTATGAAGAAACCTTTTGAGTTTGCTAGTTTGGACAATATTGACATATTTGTTCTGGTTAATATGAAATTTTATGAAGTATTTATATAATAAACTAGCAGGGAAAAGTTCATCAATGACTACTAGCTACTGCATACGGCTAATTAGTGATTAGTCATTTAGTAATTCTTAATGAAAATAGTGTGAACTGTTAACAGTTGAACCTATAACGATGAATAACTGATTGCCATGGATAAAATTTGGGTGTCTTGTTTGATTGTCATATTTGGAACAACTTATTTCATCATTTATACCATAGTGATAGGATAACTTATCTCATATATATGGTGTGATAAGTTATCCCAAGATAATTAATCCTAAGATAACTTGGTCTCAAACAAGACACCCAAATTTTGGTTGATTAAATTTGAGTTGTACTTTATAAAGTTATTTACAAAATATAGATAGATACTAGCAGACTTCACATATTATTGTACTCCTATATATGTTACTCTCAAGGTTAAGTTTTACAATATTGAAAAGTTAGTTAGGTACTGAAATTTTGAAATTTTTTACATCAATTATGTTAAAAATGACATGGTTATGAAGAAACATGTCTCGTATGAAGATCAAGTTGTAGCAATTTCAAAGAAATAAAAAATCGATGAAATTAGAAAAAAAAACTACAAATCAAATATAATGTAGAATATGATTCAACTCCAATGCAGAATCGCAATAAAATGAAAATGAGATTATTTGTGAAATTGAAGAAATAGAGCATAAATTTTGATTTTTATCCATTATGTACAATAATAACATAAAGTTGAGATAGTAATAATAATTAAAAAAATATTATCACACTTAATCTGAGTCCAAAGTCTAAAGTATAAAAAATTCAAAGGGGTGCATCAATTTTTTTAAACCCCAAAGGGCAAAAACGCTCTTTCTATAACGATTTTCTTCTGACGCCACTATTTTGTTAGAATCAAATTTCTGACCTACCATAGATTTTGTCCAAAAAAAAAAAAATTTAAAAAGAATTTTGCTATGCCGAGCAGCGTTTCTCGGGAAAAAAGTTTTCAAAAAAATTAAATCGCTGCTATAGCAGCGTATATTTCTGTCAGAAATTATTTAAAAAATAGAAATCGCTTCATGCATAGCGATTTTAGTTCAAAATGTTTTTTTTTTAATAATCGCTACCAATGAGTTATTTTATAATTTTTTTATTGTATACTTTTTAATTGCTAGCACAGATTTGAAGATTGAAAAAAAAAATCTTACTGAAATCGTTGCCTTGGCAGCGATTATTAAAAAAATAATTTTTTAAAACTAAATTGCTACACGTGGTATTATTTTTTGGACAAAATCACTGGTAGATCAGTAATTTTTGCCAGCAATTTTGATCCTAACGAATTAACAGCATCAGAAGAAAATCACTATGTGAAGAGCGTTTTTACCCTTTTGATTAAAAAAAATTGATATATTCTTTTAAAAATTTTGACAATTTCTTTTGCCCTTAAGAATTCGAAATCCACTTATTCTAATCCACACAAGTAAGATAATTCTTATTCAAATCGAATACTTAACAAAATCCACTTATTCTAATCCACCCAGGTAAGATAATTCTTATTCAAATCGAATACTTAACAAAATGCATAATAGAAGCCAAAAAAAAAGAAAAAAGAAAGTGAAGTCTTAAAGTCAAGCTTTTATAGAATATAACAAAAACATGAACATAGTTATAACTCCAAAATATGGTGATATGAGTACGAAACTTTCAGAATAGCATGATTAAGATCCGAAAACATTATAATTATTAAAAAAAAAGTAAAGATATGCGAAACATCCAAGCAACTATCTCCAAAGACTTCGATAAACATTAACTTGAAGCAAGAATCACCTCCTATTCGCTTCAGCTTCGTACCTGCACGATATAGGTGAAAAGATTATTTGAAATTCCAAAAAAAATTATAACTCAAAAGGAAAAATTATAACTCAAAATGAACTCTCAAAGATTATTTGAAATTCCAAAAAAAACTAGATATAAATTGACTATAAAATGCATCTTGAACTTGTTAGAATCATCATATTAATTATCAAAGATGAAACATAAACAAATAATTTTATTTCTTTTTTATCCTCTACGAAGAAAAATGAGAATCACATATCATATTATCATTTACCTATTTTCTAAGTGTTCAATCCAAAGCTCCGTCATAAAGTCCATAAATATACTCGTAAGGCTGCAAACATGTGAAATTAGATGATTATAAGTTACTAATATAAGGTAAGATTTAGCAAATATTTGCAATATTTGTCATAATCTTAGATTACAACTTTTTAACAATGAAATATTGAAATCAAAATTAACTTAAAATTTAAAACTTGATTATTATCACTCCGGAACCTCACAAAATTTATCAATAGTATGATGTATTTTTCATCTTTCACACCTAGATTTTCGTTAGCCTTCATACCGTTGAATATTTTGTAATATATAAAGTTTTCAGTTTTCAATTATTATGAAAAGTCATTTATTCATAAAAAAAACATGACTCTAGTCATCTCTTAAGTTCTATAAATATAAAACATCTCTATAAATAATCAAAGAAAAATTTGCATGTATTAGCAAATAACTTTAACATTGTACCCAGAGGGGATTCGTTTGTATTTTCCTCAATATGTATACATGCAATATCTCTTTAAAGAAAGTGATTTTATACACGTCAAAACTCAAATTTGATAACTACCCCTATTTTTATTTAGAGAGTTGAGGCGAAAAATAAGTTAATGAAATGTTCGCCACGCACCAGCTACATTCACTTGCTTATTGTAGATGCGGTCGAGAAGGAATGAGTGCAAACTACTCCCTCCGTACATTTTTATTTGTCATGTTGCACTTTTTAAAAGCCAATTAGACTAATTTTCAAAGTTAAATTATTTTACATTAATTCGATATTTTAAACGAAAAATTCCAAAAATTCAAAAACGGTATGAAAATTGAAAAAACACATTTTAAAGACTCTAAAAGTAAAAATCATGACAAACAATAGTAGACGATATCCGACTCCACGTGGAACCTACTCTAAGAGTGGTTTTCGAGAAAAAAACTGATCATTTTGTAGATCTGAGATAGAAATCCAATCCTGCAACTCGTTCTCTTGATAGTCTTGAGTAGTTGGTTACATCGTATAAAAAAACACTTCTTTCTTTAATTATATTTCCATTTATTTTTTCTATCCATCACTCTTGCTACAAGCCCAAAATTTACTTCTTAAAATAATTTCCACTTAAATCATCAAAATAAGAATAAATTTATATACCAAAAAGCTATAGTAACTCATTTTGTAAAATTTTTTTCTCTATTCTTTTTAAATTATTCTTAATAACATCATAACTACGAAATTGACATACGAGTATATAACGTATAATCAGTTAAACAAAAGGACAAAGGCTCACGAAATACAAATTTAACTCTCGAAAAACGAAATGATTGAATTTAAATCTTAAAAAATAAAATAATCGAATCACATAAACTAAAATAGATAAATACCCTGTAAAGACGCGATCAAATAATCCTCGAAGTTGAAAGAAGAAAGGCAGAATTGAAGATCCCCAAAGCAAACTTGCCTGTCAATCAAAATTAAGCATCACAAGAGCAAAACTAAAACTAAAATGAAAAAAATTAAGAGAAACATCATAAAAAATTTCTAAAGAAAAAAACATACCTGAATTAGGAACATTTTATTAAAATAAAATATGTGTGACAATGTGATAAAAAAAATTAGTAAATAAAATGAAGTAGTAAGTGAGAGATATAGAGTGAGTTAAAGGAAGAATCTAGAAGAAAAAAAAATTAATACAAGTGTGTATCAATATAAGTACACACGTCTCATATTTATTGTACAAGTGTATTAACTTCTAAAATTTATAAATGTTTGTCTTTTTGCATTTTAGAATATATTAATTAAGAAAATAATTTGATTGACTATTTTACTTCAATTTAAAACTTTTTGGAGATTAACCATAAAAGATCGAAGGGAGTGATATATTTTGTATCATTTTAGCTTTCTTTTTGTTGGTACAATTGTGTCATTTCAGTTGAGCTCCATTAATTACTTTCAAATTCATGAGCACAAGAAATTAAGTTTGTGTTAAATTTTTTATAAAGAGTATATATAAATTTCACTAGTTTAGATCTTAATTATTAAGATTTATGATATTTTTGAATATTACTTTACGAATTATATTTTGTCTTTTGAATACATATATCATTATTCTTCAGATATATGTATCGGGCGATTTAAAAAATCGAGATACATGTTTAATTAGTTCTGAAAATATTAGTCAATCCCTAGATATAATGTGGAAATCAAAGAATGTTTCAATGTTTAATTAATTTCATAATAAATTCATGGGAAGAGGGTATGAAAAATATGTTAATTTTAATCGAAATTGTTATTACGATACCAAACTTTATATAGGATCTTTTACCATCTGCACTATTTAAAGTGTATCTCTAAAGGTATATATGTGTCCGAGTGGACATGTTACTATTTCTAATTAATTATGCAATATTTTATGATGTCCACGCGGTCATGTCCTTTCCAAAGTTTGGTATTGTTCCATCAATTTAGTCAAAGTTCGAATATATTTTAGACCTTTTCCCTTAAATTCAGTAATATTATTAATAAAGACAAAAACATATATATTTTAATTGTGTAATTTCATTAATTCATTTAATTACTCTTAAGACAATAAAATCACTAATTTGATGTATCTATTTTAAATATATTATGTATCCAACAAACTAAATACTAATTAGATATATGAGTGTACAGTATCTAGAAGTAATTTCATGTATTTATTTATATGATCTACCATTAATTTTGGATACTATTTATATGATCTAATATTAATTCCATGTATCTATTTATATGAATCTAGTATTAATTTAATGTATCTACTATATTAATTTGATGTTATATCCAAATTAAAAACATGTATCTCAAATACATGGTAAACAATTATATCTGTGTGTGTATCTAAATATGAAATTAGTGTTTTGAAAGACTTTGTTGAGACTCGCCTGGGGCGGGGCTCTAGCAACATATCTCGAGACTCAAGTGTAGGGCTTAGTTTTGTAAGGCTTACAGCCTAAGCATCCAACTATACACTCTAAACACGCCCAACGCTCGAGACTCGCCAAATGGATCTTACACAAATTATGTGCTAAATTTATTTTAATTAACATTTGTTGACCCTAATAATTCTTGAATAAATTATTGATACTTAATAATTTTTTAATCTATTGAGATAAGAAGATTGAGAGTAACTCAAATAACAAGTTGTAGTATCCTATGTTACTATTTGTAACAAATTGAAGATGATAATTTAGCACGTAACATTGCTTTTTAAAATATGTAGTTTTACTTATCATTAGTATTGTGATTTTGTCATATGACTCAAAATTATCATATTTTGTTTAGCTATTTGAACGTAATTTTATTTTTATCCATGATGGAGTTATGTTCTTATTATGATAGTAGTACGTTTTATTGATTATTTTCTTTTGGAGGGGTGAATCGTATATTATGTTAAAAAATATATTTTTAGAAATAATAATTCTTTTATTATTAAAAAGTTAAGATGCTACATTATTTATACTTGTATAATCATGTTGGAAGTTCTATTTTCTATGAATTTCGTTAATGATGTTTGTTATCATTTAAAATTGTTAATGTATTTTTTATAATTTATATGTTATTATGTTTTTATACTATATTATAAATTAAAAAAATTAAAGATCCATAGTGCTTACACCCCACGTGAGACTTACACTTTATCCTACATTTAATAAAACGCTCCGCCTTTCAAAATACTAATGAAATATAACTAAAACGCATGAATTTAAGAACAAATCAAGACAACAGATATTTATCGATTATTAATCCAAAAAAAAATTTCAAAATTTAAAACTATAGCTAAACATAAAAGTAACTTATGTTAGTAACTTCTGAATATTTAAATTAGGGATAACCATATTGAATTGGACGCAAGCTAAACAGTGCATGAAAATTTTTAACGTTGTATATTGTATGCAATATACGTTTTTCATTTCTTTTATCTTGTAATTTCAGAAAAAGATATTAGTTATTAGTTTATTCTACTACTATCCTTATTAATTAATGGTTGGAGTTTTGCACTATTTTGATTAAACCAAAAAATCAAACCATATTTAATTTGGATAGGTTTTTTGGAT